TTGAGGCCGTGTGAGGCGGTTGGTAAAACAGTAGGGTCTATTTGATGCGTGATATAAGGCAGAAATATGCAAAAAGAACTGGCTTGCATCGTTCTCATGGCCGGTGAAAATAAAGGCACATGCCCATCACGTTTAGTACTTATATCTCAAATTACGCACTTTGTCCTATATGCCCCTGTAAGGGCAGAACGCAAGAGGAGACTCTGCAGAACGGTTCAAACGCGACAAATAAATCTGTCTACTTCGTAGCCAGGCGCAGTATACCGAAATTAACGAATATACCGGCAATACCGTGATAATGAACTGTCTCTACGGCAATTAGCGAAATTTAAGCGTACAAGAACTTGCATCACTACACTCACTCAAAATAAACCGATTGTAAGTAGATCATTAACTGGGCGGAGAGGATAAATGGTAATTTCCACGATCTTGACGTTTACATGCTCACTAATAGACGATTGTCATACAAAACAAACTACCACCAAATAAAAGTGACTGTTGTCAATAACATTTGACCAGTAGCATTAGTCCATCAGCATGTCTGCTCACAAAGTAAGCAAAGAGGTAGATTAGTGAAGTAATAATTAGTTAAGTCAATAAGTAAAAGGTAGGCAAGAAAGTATGTAACGAAGAAAGCAAGTGGTAAGCAAGTAAACAGAAAAATGGGTCAGTGGACAAGGAAGCAAATGTGAAAGTAGGGAAGCGAGTAGGTAAATAACAAAGTAGGTAGTAATCGCAGTACCTAAGTTAGCTAATATGCAAACAACTAACTGAATATGTAAGAAACCTGGCAAGTATGAAAATAAATAGGCAACGAAGCAGGCAAATGAAGAACTAAGTTAGTATATAAAGAAATAAGTTAAAATCCTAGGAAACAGCGTTGGCTCCCAGGCGTAATCAGCTTCAAATGGCAAGACCATGCAAGGAATGACTCTGTTCACTTACAGGCACAAGTGACATGAACAGATATGAACATTAAGAAAAGGAGATTATCTGTGTTAGACAAACTGGATGCGCAGAAACCATTAGCTCCCGCCTGACAACTTCTCCTGTGGGAGAAGAAATGCGGCAGAAGTTGGCCAGGAGGCTAGCATCCAACGTGGAGAAACGAGGTAGAGGCAGATCAGAAAAGAATGACAAGAATGTTTCCTTCTACGATGCAGTAACCAGCGGCTTATAGCAAAAGTTTGTAAAACTTCGAAAACTAAACATGTAAATGGAAAAGTGAGTAAAGAATCTAGCAAGTAAGTGAGTAGTATGCAAGTAAATTTAGGTAAGGAAGTAACTAGTAAGCAACCAAGTAAACTGGCAAGTAAATAAGGAATAAACAGGGAAGTATGTCTATCCAGGAAACGGAATCGATTCTATGGCTTTGCTTAACAAATGACGAACAGTTAGGACCATGAAAGAAACAGATGACGGATTGAGCTTACTAATCATCCCTTCCCCAACGACTTCATTAACATCACTACAACGATATGAATCAGATCATTTAACTTTGTGAAAACCTGTAGATACGGCTGAAATCTAAAGCTGTGTATAGTTTTTCGCCGTTTGTGTTTACAAGTAAATTGTTCCAGCTGGAAAGCTAAGATGGAATTCACAACAACCCTCAATGGGCTTACCTTTCTCGGCGAAGCTACTATCTTTTTCATATTTTGTGATAAGTTGTTTCACCTTAATCCGGTCATATTCCGGATAAAGGATTTCGTTCAGCCGCGGATCTCGCTGTTTCTGAAACGATCACTCACAAGTAAAAGGAAACAACCTGCAGCATCAAACAAAAAAACGCTGGTTCCTACCTCGTTCAAAAATGCCAGCATCTGTGTCACAGAAATGACGGTCTTGTTTTCGCTTCTGAAATGCCGGGAATACTTACACACAATAATATAATCATAAAGTATAGATCAATATCGCTAATTCGAGTTACTTTCACAGTAGGCGTATGAAACTAATTCAATTAATAACATTAATCACACTTACATTTGGTCGAACAGCTCCTGAACTTCAGGCCTTGGACAGATTTTCAGATAAAGCTGGTAGAACTTTTCGAACGTGAAGTCTGCGCATTCGATTTCATCGTTCTGAAATGATACTGAACATCAAACCATTAAGGGTCGTTGCAAACAATAAAAAATGACGTTTGCACATCAGTGTGACTTTAGGGCTACGCCTTTACAAAGAGATAAAACAATCCAGAGGTATATTCAAGACATTGAAATTAATAATAAAAGCATTCTAACTTTATCGCTGGTAATTGCAATAACCCATTAACTATCCCCTGAAAAACATCTAAACTTCAGCTCACATAACCACTAAAATGATAAACGGTCTGTGGCTACAGCTTTCGCAAACAGAACTCTGCAGCTAAGTAATAATAGAGTTCTTAAAATAGAAAGCATATTAAATCAATAATCTTTCTTAACGCTGTGCGTTTTCCGCGTTTCAAGCAGGAATAATGATATATTAAACAACAGCATCGAAAGTTTCCCGAGAATATCAGGGTTTTATTTTCTTTCACACAAAAATCGTGGCAATGTCAATATACTGATTATGTTTTCTTCAATCCATGTTTGAAACGCGGTCCTGCGTCCTATGCAATACAGGCGATTAAATACCATGGAGACGTAGCCTGCTTGAATGGTCCCGTAAAGAGCCTAGAAGTAAAGCGGCGGTGCATTAGGGCTGCTGGTGCATAGTAAGATCTAAGACTTTCTTTTTTTACACTGTGCATTTTCTACGTTTCAACCCGGTATCATTCTTTCTAATGACCATATAAAATTAAACTTCTGTAAGAACAGATATGCACCTAAATTGGTTACAAATACAATAAAGTGTAAATTAACTTACTTTAAATCAACTTGTAACACGAATAATCTTAAAAGTAACATTCTAAGTAATAGACGTACTAGAGTCTAATCATCATAAAATTTTTGGTGAAGAATGACGACAATTACTTAATACAAAATAAAATATCAAAGCAACATTGAAATAACTCGTTAAACTAGCTTCACAGACTACGATGCAGTGTGGGAATATTACGCATGAGGAGAATGGAGCACTGTGACTCACGGAAGAAGGACCAATGTACGAAGCTGGAAAAGACGAATAACACCGGACGAAAGTGAAAGACAAGAGGAAACAGCAGAGCCTCGCCCTCTGTCAGATCAAAGAACAATGAGAAATACTTGCAGGACTGTGCAACCCCTGGCCCAGCAGGGAAGGACCTCAAACTCACGG